AGGAACCTGTCCCTCCTCCAGGCCAGTCGTATCTGCTGCTGTTTCGGCGGCAGCTGGCGTTGGGTCCACTTCCATGGCCTCCGCGGGTGGATCTGATCCCCCCTTATTGGACGGCTTCGCCGCTGCCGCCTTTACCGCCTCCTTGGTTTTGGGAGGGGGGAGTGCCTGTGTGGCTGCTCCCCCTTCTTCTTATTTCCTTCCTTGGGGGGCTTACACGCCGGCCCCCTCATTTGATGGGAGGCCGGACGACCCGCGTCCTGGCACACAGCGCATTTAGCCTGCGCCGTGCACTCGCGGGTCTCGTGTCCCTTTTCACCGCAGCGGTAGCATATACCGCTGCGGTCCACGTCCTTATTAGGGCATGTTGCCCTTACGTGTCCCCTCTCCATGCATTTGTAGCATTGGAGGGGGCGCGCTTTCAGGAGTTCAACCCGGGCTCTGAAAAATCCCTCGATTATTATATGCCCCTCCTGGGCGACCTTATTGGCCGCCCTAAGGGGGCACTTCGCCCAGGCCGTGTAAAGGCCTCTTGGGGTGGGGGAGGGTTTAATGTCCCCCACCTTGACCTCGGTGGGGGAGCATTCTCCCCTCTCCGCCACGGCCTGAGCGATGCTCTCCGCCGTGGTGGCCGGCGCTAAATCCCGGATACGGTTCTCGCCCATTTTTTGTGGGCGATTGATCCGTATCTCGGGTCTTTCAGCGAACATGCTGCGCATCTTTTGCGCTAGCATGTCCACTTTCCTTTGCCCTTCGGGGCCCGGCACCTGTATTATGAGGGCCCCGGTTTGGCCCGCTTTGGGCGTCGTTGGGGGGATCCCCATCTCTTTGAGAGAGATCTCCCCGGTGACCCTCTTCATCACCGCGGCGTATTCCCCCACTGGACATGTGAGAGAAACGGCCGCGGTGTTGGGCACCTTCCTCTTTTTTTTGCTCCCCCTCCCCCCCCCTTGCCCTGTTTGGGCGGGGAAGAAAGGGATTTGGGGGCGGCTTTGAGAACCACTTTCGTGGTTCCCTGACCGCTCTTCGCCCCCGATTTGGGAGGAGGAGGAGGAGCTGCCCTCCTAGTTGCTCTTCTCTTCACCACTTCTGTGAAGAGAAATGGTGGCTGCTTCTGTTGTTGCTGCTGCTGCACTGTTGCAGTTTCTGCAGCAGTTTTCCCTCCGTGGGGGATCGATTGTCCCGGCTTTTCAGTCGGGACTTTCTTTCCCCCTTTAGGGGGGGGGGAAGGGCCGGCAGTGGGCTGTCGCACGGCAATGGACTGCGTCGGCGCCTTCCCCAGGCCCTTCCTTCCACCCCCTTCCCGAAGTCCCCGGTGGGGGGAGCCGCCCTCTTAACGGAGGGCGGACTCCCATCACCAGGAGAACCGGAGGGAGGGGGGTTAGGCAAGGAGGGGAACAGGCTACCCCTCAGCTCTCTCATCATCATGGGGAGCAACTCGGAGAGTTGTTTCCTCACCGCCTGCTCGATTATCTCGGCCAGGCCACCGGGCACGATGGTGTAGCTGGTCAACACCGGCAAGGGTTGATCCTCCAGAATCTTTACGACCCCCTTGATTGGGGGTCTCCTTGCCGGGAAGTTGACCAGATCTTCCCGGGTTATAGTCATCATGGGGGAGGGTTCGGGGAGTGGCGTCTCCACTGACCCTTCCATGGTGACTTCCTCCTCGTTCTCCCCTGCGGCCCTGGCCCTAGCCCGGGTAGCGGGGGGTGAGGGAGGTGGGGAGGTTCTCTCCCTCTCCTCTTTTTCCCTGCGGAGGTCCGCCACCTCCTGCTCCAGGCGGCGGTTCGCCGCGAGGATCTCCTCTACGTTTTCGTTGGCGGAGGAAGAGGCTCTCCCCGCAATGGGGTCGTAAAACCCCTTCTCCGCCCTTTCGGCTAGGGTCGCCGCTCCTGCTTCCAGTGAGGAGGCTGCAGCACAGAGGAGCCCGGCCAGGTTCCCCTTAAGGCCCTTTGAGACCCCGGTGACCTCCAGGATGGACTTCGTGTCGCTCCTGAGGTCGTCCAGGATCTGCTGGACCGGTGCAGCCTCATATCGCACAACCTTGTTTTTGATTTTTTCCATAAATTTGTGGTATCGCTCGGTTGTGCGATCCGTCTCATGGTGAGGATTCTTAATCCTCTCGGCGACCCTTTGATGGAGCTCCTCAATCCGCTCCACCGCTTTCTCCCTCCTCTTTCGGGCGGTGTACTGCCCGATGTTGGCAGGATCGTTAGCGGGGCGACCCCTTGGATCCTCTTTTAGGGTCTGTGCCCTGAGGATCTCATTGTCCTCCTCATCCGAGGACAGGAGGCCGCTCCTCCTCATCCTCTTTTCCCTCTTCTTTTTCCGCTCCTCGGAGGAGGGAGAGTCAGGGAGGATGGTGGTGTCCCCCCTGTCCTTTTGCGGCCTCTTGGCTCCGATCGATGAGGTGGTGCTGTGTCTGGTGACAGACGACATTCTGTCACCCTCATCGTCCGAGCCCAGGTCGATGGAGGTGACCCCGGAGAGGCTCCCCTCCGACCCGGCTCTTGACAATTCCCGCGGTCGTCCCGGGGATCCAGCACGGGATTGATCCCGTGATGTGCCCGGGGTACCCGCGGGGAGGCCTTTCCTCGACCTTGGGCAAGGTCTGTTCGGAGGGGGAAGAGAGGAGGATGGATTCCCTCCCCTCCCTCTCCCCGTCATCTCGTCATCGGAGTCATCTCCGCCCCTCAGTCTCAGGACCAAGATCTGAGGTGGGGTAGATGACTCCCGAGGCATCACCCATGCCTCTCCTCCCGTTGCAGCTCCATTAGTTGCTCTCCTCACAGAGAGACAAAGTCTCTCAGTCGTGGGAGATCCCTCCCGACTCCTACCACCATTTTTGTTTTTATAAGACACCATTTTTTGTTTCTAACCCACCACCCACTGCGGCTCCGCTGACCGGGCATGCCTACTACGTCCCGAGTTCCCCCGGGAGGTCAGCATATGGCGCGGGCACCGGGAATTAAACATCCGGTGCACTGGCCTCCAGCCCCTTACTCGCCCCTGGTTTTACCTAGGAACTTTCGGGGGTCCCACACCTCCGACAATGTGGGCACCGCAGTGGGCGCCGCTACACGGGGGGCCCCACGGACGGATGGGCGGAGGGTTGTAGCGACCCAACCAACCGCCTTGCCCGCTGTGGCGACCAGCAAACCCACTTCTCGACCGATCACTCCGGGACCGGCATAAACCGGGACGCACTCCAGTAGTGATCGGTCCTCACCGCTCGGCCCAGACTCGGAATACTTGCGAGCGGCCCGAGCGACTACTCCCCGCCATCCGACTCCGCCTCGGAATATGTCCGAGCGGCTCGGAATGGCCCAGCCCGACGAGCCCGGGAGTTCCGGGACATCGACGGCCCGTCGCTCTCCTTCACGACCGTGTGTTCGCGGACCACGTCCACGAGCCGGGCCACCGAAGTGACCCCACCAGAGACCCGTCCCGCCGGAGCAGCAGCCCCGGCCAGGACAGCCCTGGCCCTGGCCGCCCGTGCACGGAGGGAAGATAAAAATCTCCCCCTAACGGTGCCGTGCCACCGGGGGTTTGAAGTCGGTTCTGTTGCAGCACTAGTTGCTGGCATACTAAGAATATCAACTGCAATCGAACACAATTTTGGATCAGAATTGTTAGTTTTCCACCAAATAATAGCTGATAATGTTTTCATAGTTTTTTTAACAAAAGGATTACTAAAAGATCCCTCTTTATGTATGTAATTAGCTAGATCAGTCATTACTTGCGTTACAGTCTCACTATCTTCCCCATACAAATAACTTGCTCGATCATGGATTACTTGCATTCCTAAACTCTTTTGTGTTCGAGTTAAGTGTTTGCCACTGTATTTTGAATCTAAGATATTGGCAGCAAAGTGTAATGGCTGCATCGATAATTCGCTTCTACTTGTTACCTTCTTTTTAAGATCTGCGCATTCGTTAATCGATAATGGGGAGTCATTGAATAATATATCATAACGAGTCTGTATCTCATTCCAAACTCTTGGAATCAAGCTTACTGTACAACAATTTGCTTCCAAAATTGTAATCCATTTAATGATTGGAGCTAGAATTTCATGAAGACTTAGAAGGCCGCACCAAAAATTGTCGCTTAAAATATCCTGTTTAACTTTGTTTTTCAAAAATACATCCTCCGAAATAGCCAACATTTTTAAAGCTACTTTGTTATAAAGCAAACTCTCGAAGCAAAAGATTATTGACCCCCATCTGGTTTTACCAGGTAATTTCAAATGATATAACTTTCTGTTTTCTTTCTTTCTGAATTTCAGTAAATTTTGCTTTGATCAAATGAGATGAATTTATCTCTTTTACAATTTCATTTGCTGAAGACTCAACATCTTTAAAATGTCTCATAATGGATTATATCTTTCGTCAATAAATTTAAACAATGTGCTTCACAGCTATATATATAAATATGCGGGTATTTGCGCTGCACAATTCCTCGAGCTTTGACCATATTGGATGCACCATCAGTAACGACTACGAAAACCTTTTTTATCCCGATTTCTTCAATTACTTCGAGAATAATCTCTGCCATATATTCTCCAATATGAGATTTTCCTTTCATATCCATAGTTCTATATAATAAGGTTTCCGGAGTCGTCACAACAAAATTAACAATCGATTCGTTCCTATTAAAAAATAATAACATTGCTGAAACATTATTTTTTAAATTGTTAATTATTTTTCGAGATTAATTTGTTTTGAATTATAAAGAATATTTACACTTTCTTCAATATTATTTAATATTTAGGTTTATATTTTTCTTATTTTCTGAAATTCTTTGTTTTTCCTTCAAATTTTATATCTAATTTCGTTTCTAGTTTAATAATTATCACAGTCACAATTACCGTATATTACTCCAACCATTACATTGGACACCAACAGCATTTGATTTTGCAATAGCTTCATTCATTTCCAACTGAATTCTTGCATGTTCTTTGTTTATAAGAGGAGTACTAATCTTATAAGTTGATGGGGGTTTCCAACAGGGTCGCAATTCTTTAAAAAACTCTATCCAATATTGATTGTCAAGTATCGAAAGCGCACAATCCGATGAATAAATTGCTCTTAACAGTTTTTCATCCAGCCTTTCCTATGAGACAAATCAATTGTATCAATAGGTCTGTTCTTTATAGCTAAACTGACTGCACTAGTTCAGAGTTTATCTTTTTTCCTCCACATTGGAAAGAGAAAGATTAACTTTGAATTAGTACAGTCAGTTCAGCTATAAAGAGAGAACAGATCTTATATTACAATTAAATAAAATCTCAAATTATAAAGTCAATAAAATTTAATATGAAAATCAATGTATAATAAAAGCTTATTAAGTATATGTACTTGCTCATCTGGAGTTATAGAATCAAAGTATTTTTGAAATGAAGACAGCTTTGGGGTACTACTTCTCTCTTTCTATAGAGTATTTTCAACGCGAGAGTTTTCAGCTGCAGATGGCAAAACATTAACTGCAGTGGTTGTTTCAGTTGTGCGCAATGATTCATTATTATGAACCATAATGAGTTCATCTTCCGATGTATCATCTTAAAATAAAAAAAAAGTAGACTTCTCTGAAATTTTAATTCTAAAAAATGCTGTAATTTTCATATGACTTTTATAGAAATAAATACCAAAGAAATATCACAGAATGTATGTACTAAAATTGCGACACTTTTAAATATGTTAAATAGTTTTTTTTTGTTAAAAAAACGGATTATTTATATATATGTCTCGAATGAAATTATAGAATTATGGAAATCTGATGATACGCTTAACCTAACCTAACCTTAAAGAAAAAATAAAAAGTAATTAGTAATTACCATACCATTTGAATCCCGATTTGTTTGCTTTCTACTGTTAATCCTTTCCTTTCTTAATAAATCTTTCACTGTTTGTGGACACTTTAAGCATTTTTTTTCCAAATGCTTTCTTTGGCGCGTGGCATTATTTGCGTAAAGAACGCCACAATAATTACACTTATAACATATTTTATTATTTTTTTCTATTTCTTTGAAAAATTTCCACACAATATTTTTTGGTTTTGGCATTTTATGTTATAGAAAATACCAGAATACGTTACAGGCAACAGATAACTTATATGAAGCGTATAGTATAAATAAAGCATAAAGCGTTCGTCGACGTCACGGTTCACAGTCTTTGTTTTAGCTCAAGGCTCAATCTCAATTCTCTTTCTAAAATCTTTTTTCTCTCTTTTTTTTTTGCCTCTAAACCGCTAAAATGCTGCCAACATAAGAAAAATCTGCAGAATATAGGGACTTCAACGGTGCAGTATTGCAGAATTTTTTATAAAAGCTGCGTTCGGCATTGCAAATCAGAGACATCTGTTTGCTCTTTTACCTAGAAAATCTATACGTATACATGACGAATACTATAGATTTTCAAGGTGAAAGAGCAAACGGATGCCTCCGATTTGCAATGCCGAACGCAGCTAAAGGAGAACTGAGCGCAGTATGTAGTAATATTTCCACTATGATATCAAGTACTACCAATCATCAAATTTATTATTAATTCTAACATTCAATATATGTGTATTACAATAATTTAAAGACAGAAAATTATTTTTATTTCATAAAAATTACAAATTTTCATAAATTCTCATAAATTCTCGAAAAATCGATAGCTCCAGAAATTACCGATAATTTACCGATATTTTCTCATCCTTTCTGACGTAATATACCACCTTTAGAACTCTAATAACTAGACCCAGCATGCATGTCTTTGGCAGAACGGACAAAGAGGCAAAACTAGGGGAAGATTTCTTTCTTTGTCTGCGCAGGTAGGATGCGCAGTCGCTATTGACAGCGAGCGTGACAGCCATGTGACGGCCGTGATAGAATACAGGGCATAGGTTCTAATCTAAGAAAATATATGTATAAGCGTAGTTGTTTTTGGGCAATTAAGGACATGTTACATTTATTAT